ATTACCAACAAAAAATACCTTCTTTCCTGAGCTAGTCAAGCTCTTAAAGCTTATATTCTTGTAAACAAATGTGCCAGGAGAAATAGGGAAGTGCTGGAGAAGGAAGCAGTGAGAGAGTCCGGCCTCAGCAGAGTCTGAAACCTCTGGAATCCTCTAACAGCAGTGGGTTACTGGGCAGGCAGCCATGCTGGTTGGATGGAATATAGGCAACTGGGAAACAGACCCAAGGACTGATGGAGATTTGGTGGATGACAAAGAGGAGTCTCAAAGTGTTGGGAGCGGACTTAGTGATCAATGGCCACGGTGAAAAGAGAACGGTGCATCCTTACCTCACGCCACACACAGGAATACGGATCCGAGATGTAAAATGTGCCCCACGAGATTTTCCCTGGGAACTAATGGCCGAGTTGAACATCCTGCAGCCTGTGTGCATGACCTGACCCAGAGTCTATGGAACATATCAGAAGTGGCTGGTACACTTCTAACATACTATGGACCCTTCACCTGTGGCTCTTTTTTTTTTTTTAAGATTGATTTGAGAGAGAGAGAGAGCGCGAGCATGAGTGGGAGGGACCGAGGGAGAGGAAGAGAGAATCCCAATCAGACTTCATGCCGAGCGTGGTGCAGCCTGATGCTGGGCTCTATCTCACGACCCTGAGATCATGACCTGAGCCAACACCAAGAGTCGGACTTAAGTGAGTGAGCCACGCAGATGCCCCTCGATTGTGGCTCTTGAACAGAAATGCTTGCACAGGCTCTTCTGCCTTTAACTGGCTCTCCCCTCACAGGCCTGGTTGCCGTGGTTGCTGTTCAGTTTAGATCTTCGGTACCCAATGTTCGTATTTCTAAGCACATGATGCCTAAATTTTATTTTATTTTATTTTTTAAAGATTTTATTTATTTGAGAGAGAGAGAATGAGAGACAGAGAGCAGGAGAGGGAGGAGGGTCAGAGGGAGAAGCAGACTCCCTGCTGAGCAGGGAGCCCGATGCGGGACTCGATCCCGGGACTCCAGGATCATGACCTGAGCCGAAGGCAGTCGCTTAACCAACTGAGCCACCCAGGCGCCCATGCCTAAATTTTAAAGTATCTTCTGTCATCCCCTAAAAAGCTTCTAAAATCCCCAGGGCTTGCAGAAAGAGCATTTGGGAACCGGCTCTGCCCAGTGATACCTGCTGCTGAGCACTTGGGTATTGTCTTCAAGGTGCCTGGCTCTAAACCAGGTTGGTCAGGTCTTTAAGGAACCCCAGTGCCCACTAACATGCGTAGATTTTGTTAGTTGGTTCAGCCTCATTTACAGGTACCGATTGGACAGCGGCTTGCGCTCTGGGAACTTGTGCTGACGTGCATGGGCCTTACTGCCTTGGCTTGAGAGTGCTGGCGTGCGGCAGTCGGAGAGCTGTGAGACCTGGAGGGGCTTTTGTGTTTGTTAACTGCTGCTATAGTCAAGTTCACTGAAGATGCTAACGATATTTGTCATTTTCATCAATGTAGATGACAGTGAAGTTGCCTGTGTAAAATCTCTTCACTGTGCCACTGCGTTTGCACGGCTTGAGGAAGGGAAGCCGGCTGTGTTAATGCCTAGGCTCCTTGAATGACAGGTAAACCCCCCGCCACGCTCATGCCATTTCACGCAGGCTTCCCTGCAGCCTGACCCTAGTCGCTGGCCGCCCAGGTCACGTGGGTGTGGCGCTCTTGGAGAGAGCTGGTATGGGCGGGGTTGGTTTCCACTGCACACAGGCCCTAGTACATTCTGGTCAGCAGGTTAGCTGGCTATCATTCATTCATTCGTGTGTTCATCCGCTCTTTCTGTGACCTCGCTCGGCTCCTGCTGTGTGGCTAGGCATCGTGGGAGGTGAGGGGACAGATGAAGCGTGGATGGCGGCCTCTGCTTTGTGAGCTTCTCCCTGCCTTGGCCAGGGTCGAGTTACCCAGGTATAGGCCAGAGCCCCTGGCACGAGGGGTGGGGCCACGGCCCATCTTCCAGGGAGAGCTGAGCTGGAGATGGGTCTTCAGAGACGCCATTTGAACATGTTGCGGGAGGCTGCGGCGGCAAGCTGGGGCTTTCTGGAGAATTCCCCGGGGATCCTTACACTCCCGAGAGGGAATAGCTGGTACCCTACTCCCTGCCACAAACCACATCCCGGAGGCCCCCTCCTTCTGCTCTGGGACAGTGTGGCTTGAGCCCACTGGCATTTTCCTGTCCACTTTGAGCAACAACTGATTTGGTTCCACGAAGAGGCAGTGACTTTGAGTTTGCCACATCCGGCCCAGTTGATGGATTCAGAATGTAATAGTATAAAATGTAATGTTTCAGCATTTCGGGAGAAGACTTTTTCCCATTTAATAATAACCTTCGAGGGGCGCCTGGGTGGCTCAGTCGTTAAGCGTCTGCCTTCGGCTCAGGTCATGATCCCAGGGTCCTGGGATCGAGCCCCACATCAGGCTCTCTGCTCCACGGGAAGCCTGCTTCTCCCTCTCCCACTCCCCCCTGCTTGTGTTCCCTCTCTCGCTGTGTCTCTCTCTGTCGAATAAATAAAATCTTTAAAAGAAAAAAAAAAAATAACCTTTGAACAGAGTTTCTCAACTTTGACCTAGTTGACATTTGGGGCCAGATCATTCTCTAGCGTGGGGCCGTGTTGAGCAGCATCCTGGCCCCGACCTACCTTGTGACAACCAGAAATGTGTCCAGACACTGAGTGGTGTCCTCAGAGGTGCAGAATTCCTGGTGGAGAACCAGTGCCTTAGAAGAGCTCACAGATACCTAGCGCAGAGCTCGGTTGGCTGATTTCTCACTGGTGCTGACATGGCCTTGGGAGAGGCCGCCCTCATTCAGCGTGGGTGTCAGGACGGCGGTAGCCGTGGGTAGGGGCACGAGGACCCAGCTGGATGCTTTTGTGTTCATAAGTTAGTCACTAGGATTCTTAGAAAACAGTGACTGTCATTCCTGCCCCCAGAACCCCAGGTCATCAGTGTGGGCTTTGAAAACCTGTCTGGATACATGTCCTTAATATAAAAATGATCCATCTTATTTGGTGGAAAAAGGCATTTAAAATCACGGACGCTATTTTGGTATAAGATTGACAGGTTGACAAACGGATTTCTTCTCTTCCACTTTCTTAGGTCAGGAATCACTCCCAAGGTAGGAAGGGATTGGGAACAGCAGGTGTTGGTCCTTGTGAATGCTGGGCGATTTGGGTTTTTTAAACACTATTTTGTTTACTTTGTATTTTAGAAGTAGTTTCATAACACATTTTCTAAAACGATTGAGGTTAGAAACCATGGTTGTTTTGTTTTGTTTGTTTTTGGGTTTTTTTTTAAAGAATTTATTTATTTATTTGATAGAGACAAAGCGAGAGAAGGAACACAAGCAGGGGGAGTGGGAGAGGGAGAAGCAGGCTTCCCGCTGAGCAGGGAGCCCGATGTGGGGCTCGATCCCAGGACCCTGGGATCATGACTGGAGCCGAAGGCAGACGCTTAACGACTGAGCCACCCAGGCACCCCTGTTTTGTTTGTTTTGAGAGAGAGAGCGAGAGCAAGAGCGCACGGGGGGCGGGGGGGGCAGAAGGAGAGGGAGAATCTCAAGCAGGGTCGATCTCATGACCCTGAGATCATGACCTGAGCTGACCCCAAGAGTCAGATGCTCAAACGACTGAGCCACCCAGGTGCCTGCAAAGTCCTGGTTTTAATTGAGCTGTTCTCGACGGGGATCGTCCTTGTGAAGTGTAGCGGCACTGGGGGGCATGAGATGCACACATGCAGACAAGGACATGGGCTTGCGGGCCCCAAGGATGCGCCCGTTGCAGCAGGAAGGGGCTGTGAGGGAGCCCTGCAATGGTGACGTGATGAGGGAAGGACTTGACCTCAAGGCACAGCAGCCCGGCCTCGCCTGAGGCTGGAGCCCCACCATCGCCCCCAGAGCTTTCCAAGGGGGTCTCAGTGTGAAGGCCGCCCTTCGTTGGTCATTGGTTCTGGGGGGAAAGGGAGAAAGGAGCTAATTAAGACCCATCTTTGGTTAAGTGAATATGAACTAGAAATATTTTTAATTAAACCAGTTGTTGAAAATCTCTAAGATTTCAGCTCGCAGACCTACCTTAAAATAAGACAGGAACAGCATTGTGATTTCAGGGCCCCCTCTTCTAATGCAGGTCAGAGTGAGGAGGACCCCAGTGCCTGGAGGCCTGCATCCCACAGAGTGCATGGGTGGAGCTGCATCCTTAGTCTTAACCTTGCATTTTCCTAAAACCTTCCTAAGGGGAAAGTTCTAGTTCGATGCAAGGCAGTGGACACATTATTGTGGTGTGTTCCCCTGGGTATAGAATGCATCACAAAGCCGGGTCAAGGGACCAGGACAGTGGGAATGTAGGACTGGGGTCAGGAGTTGCACACCGCTAGGAATGCCATGTGTGGGTCGGGAGTCTGTGAGCCCCTAGACAGGATATTCAGAGTTTGTGATGCAGGTACTTTTCTCCTGGAGAGGGGCTGTAAGCTGCCAAGGTCAAAGGCTGTAGACAGCCCATAGCATGCACTCAGCTGCCTTTTGGTGGACTTGGAACATTATCTCCCTTCGGGTGGCAAGTCACCCCATCCTTGCTCTACCCACCTCCCTGCTTTCCACTCCTGGGTGGCATCTCCAGTCCTTAATCCAGCCTCCCTGCCTCCCCAGCCTCTCCATCCCCACTCCCCGGAGGCTGACAATTCTTGCTGGTTCTTGCTGTCTCAAGAGCGGAAGCTGAGCTCTCTTCTGCTGCCTGCCCTTCGTTGTCCTCTCTTTACCCTGCCCCAGGATTAGATCCATACAAGATGTTTCTCTAGGAATTAGGGTTTGTTTTTTCCGCAGCTGACCCAGAGTCAGCGCCAGAGAGCTGCGGCGGTCTGAGGTTGGGGTCTCCCAGGTGGCCGAGGACCAGTCCGTGGAGCGCCTGGACAGCCCGGGGTGGGAGGCCACGCGGCGGCCGCCCCCGACTGACTCTCTGCCGGGGTTGTTTTCCTCTTTTGCAGATCAGCCAGTCACTCGATGGGGAGCAACGGCGGACCTCCTTTTTGTGTCACCTTCCCACCTCTCTGTAGCAAGAAAAATAACTTCAGCACCTCTTCAATAATAATGATGAAACTGGTATTAACTGAATGGCAATTATGGATTTTTAACTCTAATTCACAGTAAACCAGCAAGCCATATGTTTAAAATCCAACCAAAAATCATTTTGTTTTGCTGCGTGTCTCACCCGCTTGTGAGAAGTTGTGAGATCTCGATTTGTACAAAGAGGGATATAAGCATTACTTGCCGGAGGAACACAACTGAAGCAGAGAGAGAAGGCGTCCTAATTTATCCTTAAAGATTCCTGATAGTATTATTTATATAGGTAGAGGAAATATATATACACACACACATATATACACGTATATGTTTTTGGTGGTAATGAGAATGGCCCCGCAGAACGCCGACTCGGAATCTCTGCAAGTTCAGGAGTTTCCTGTGCCCCTGCCGGATCTGCAGAAGCCGGGAAGCGCGGATACCCACGATGAGACCATCAGCGAGGGGTCCATAGACCGGATCCCCGTGCGCCTGTGGGTGATGCACGGGGCCGTGATGTTTGGCAGGGAGTTCTGTTACGCCATGGAGACGGCGTTGGTCACGCCGATCCTCTTGCAGATTGGTAAGTGCCGTCCGCGCTTCTGCCTGGTCCTTAGCACCGAGCGCGGCGTTCGCCGTTTGGACACACGAGCGGACGTCAGCACACAGACCTCGTCACGTGCACTGGGAAGTGTTCAAGAGCCCTGGGCGCCAGCATCCTGTCTTTGCTCCCCTCCACCTCCTGGCCATTTTTTTCCTCCCGTTCTGGGCTGGGGCTGGGGTGGCAGGTGGGCCTTGCATGGCGACGAGGAGGTACCTGTTTCGGCAAGGTGATAGTCGAGCACCTGAATGTGTGCAGTCAGCTTCGGTACGTTCTTCTCCCCGTGTGCCTGTCTCCCCTGCGGTACCTCCTGCCCTGCTCCTGCCTCCCGGACACGGTCACCAGCCGTGTCCTGCTGTGGCAGGCCAGGGAACCTCCCTGACTCTCCCTTAGCTTCCTTCCTGAGAAGGGGAGGGTGACTGCAGACCGTCCCCTGGTCGGGCACAAGGCGAGTGCTTGGAACAAAGCCTGGCCTAGAAAACCCTGAGTAACATGGTTTTTTATTACCAGCTTCTTGTTGACGACTTAAATCTGAGTTTCGTGTGGACTAGAGGTGGCTGAATGACGGGCATTTCCAGAAATACTGGAGTTTACGGAGTTACTCAGTGAGCATTACGGAGCCCCGTATGGAAGAGCCTGCATCCCCTCCGGATTACATGTCGGTGTTTAGTTTTCCCTGTTGTCTAAGGAAGTTTGAAAATCTGCAAGTTCCCAGCCCCTAAGAGTTCTGGATAAGGGGCCGAGCTGTTTAAAATCTTCTGTTTCATTCCAGAATTCCACATGTGCGTAGTATCTGCTCATTTTGGTTATTTTAGGAATGTTTCTTTCTCCAAACATAATGCTTCCTGTTCGGTGAGCGCTCACCGCTCTGCGGATCCGTTAGTGAAGTGCAGGGGTCTGACACTCGCCACGTTTCCTTCGGTTATGAATGGCGCCATCATCAGAGAGCCGACCTCGGCCGTGGCAGGTGTGCTTGTGATTATTTCAGGTCGCCGTGGTCACGGGACGCACCCCTGCATCTTCTCAGCACATTCATTTCTTCTCTCCATCCTGAGGTTACTGTCCTGCCACACGTTTTTCTGTTGGTAATCCCGTGCTTTGTTGTGCATCTTTAAAGATGCCCTGAGACGGTTTCACGAGACCTCGGGCTCGGCTGAGAGCTCTTCGGGAGAGTTGGGGATGGTGGAGCATGAGCGATGCGGGTCACTCCTGTTCTTTCATCTCTGTACTTGTCATCTCTGCATTTCTGCTCTCCCGTTCCGTACCCAGGAAGGTATGCCAGCAGCCCGAGCGTGGACAGGATGCCACGTCTCTGCCCGTGCGGCCTCCCTCTGGCGGTGGAGGCAGGGGAGTGACCCGACCAGCTGGAGCCACTTCCTGTGAGCAGGGGGGAGCAGTGTGGCCGCAGACCCTCCGAGGGGGACACCCTCCTTGTGCGGGGGGCTCTGGGTGACAGTGTGGAGAGTGAGCAGAGGGTACTCGGGGAGACAGAGGCTTGGCAAGTTGAAGAAACGAAGACTGGCTTTGTGGCCAGACCTCAGGGAGTCCAGCGGCAATTCACTTTACCAGACATTTCTTTATTTATTTTTGGTCCTTCGGCGTGGAAGGACTTGGGTTTGGCACCGCAGCTGAGGTCATTAACAAATGCAGTCATAACCATAAGTGGCGTGGTTACGGTTAGAAATGGAGTGCCGTTATCCAGTTTCTAGACCACCTCGTGGTTATGGTGACAAATACGGAATACAGAAGCTCTGGTGATCGAGAAGTGGGTTGTTCTAGAAGTGCAGATCTGAGGGTGTTTCCCCCCAGATTTTCTTTGTGGTAGGTTATATGTATTAAGGCTTAAAACCCTGGCACTAACAACTCTTTGCAATGTTTTACTTTATGGGTTAAGAGTCTCAACTTCTGTACAACTTAGCACGTTTCCTGGTTGGGGTTTGAGTATTTAACGTGCTACATGAGTCTAGTATCAGGTTTGGATAATCTGGGATAATAAACACGAGTATTTTACTACAGAGCATAAATGCGTATGCTGCGTAGCGACGGAAGCTTTGGAAAGTCGTGGGTGTGTTGGCTGCGTGCACACCTCCACGGGTACTGACTGTCGGGAGTGGGGCAGGGTGCCTAGAGCCGGGATCCAAGGACATGCTCACCTTGTGTGTGTGGCACTCGGGTGACACCGCAGGGCTCCCCGGGGAAGAGGCCTTTAAGAGCCAGGTGTTACCGTCAGCACCTTTCTTGACCCAAAATGGAGCTTCTTCGTGGCCCTGGGGTGCCCTGGGTACACCTGCTTCAGTTGGGGGCCCCCTGAAATCGAGTGGGGGCCAAACGTCTCCAGTGGCCCAGTTGACCTGCTGGGGAGAGAGATGGGCATCGTGAAAACTTGGGAAGTGTCTGGCGGCGCTGCTTCAGCATACTTGGCGGTGAGCTGTTTTGTTGTCCTGACAGGTGCAAGCGATGGGTTTTGCCGCAGCCTTGCCCGGTCTGTGGTCCTAAAGCCACCCGTTAGCACAGGGGCCATCTGTCTTTCCTGTGGCTGCTGGGCTGTGTACCACGCAGAGCTGGTAGGTGTCGGGCGATTTCAGCTTCTGTCCCCTCAGCCCACTGCACCGGTGTCTAAACTGAGCCCAGCCCTCCCTCCATCTGGTCTTGCAGGTCAGTGATGTTGGAGGACCCTAGTGAGTCACACGGCCTCTGGACACAGAAGGAAGACATGGCACCCTTTGTTCCACAGCCTCCTGGCAGGAGGACAGATCAGGCAGAGGTGGCTGGGCTCAGAGGATGGACTGTGTGCAGGGGCCTCCAGGGGAATACTGATCCCGATGCTTGTGGGAATCTTTGCTGGGGTCCCTAACACAGCATGGAGATGGGAGAGCTCATCCCTTCCCTGCTGGCTGGCCGCTGTGCGGAAGGCCCGGTTGGCAGATTCGGAGAGTTCTGGAGTCCTCTTAGGGAGATGAAGTATACACCGTGACGAGGAATGACCTGCCACGTGGTCTTGGCAGACATGAGAGGGGGTGAGCTGTTGAGCTCTTGCCATCTCTGGGGAGCCAGGCCCCATCAAGGGGACCCCAGAGCATGCCTCAGCACCCAGCGGCTGCCCCGATTTACCAAATCTCCCCATCTTGGGCACCCTGACCTTCCTAGGTCTTTTAGGATTGACATAATTTTGTGGCATACTGAAGAGTGGTGGCTTTTTTAAAAATGGACATTCTGTTTAGTTGGAACAGTTATTTTGTAATGCGTCAGTAGACTCTGCCCAGTTTCTGAAAGCTGGCCAGCCAGATGTGCTTGGCAGATGTTGGGTGCTTCAGGAGACGGTCCCACAAGGACTTGGATCCTCTCTTGGGAGAGGTTCCCACTGCCTGGTCTGGGACCCAGCAGCCTGCTGTATACGCTCCAACTCTTCGGCCACGTTTTAGAGTACATTAAGCAATGACAATGGGGACCCGTATTTCGGTTGAAAGTCCCCTTCCCAGGGTGTGTATGTGTGTCAACTCGGCATGGGGATGGTGGTGCCCGGGCCTCGCAGGTTCCAGCGGAAGGCAGTGTCACCAGTCTTCCTGGCCTACCTGTGAGCTGAGTGGGAGTGACTGCGTGAACCGGCAGGTGGGTGGCCCCAAACTGGGCCAGGTGCCCTGTCACCTGGGGCACCTGCCACACACCATGGATCTCCAGCAGGTGACAAATACTCCAGCAGCTAATTTTCGTTCTTGCGAAAGTTTTCTTCCTGGCTCCTGGTATGGTGGAGTATGGTGGTCTGTTCTTGGTGCTGGATCCCACAACTATAGTTGCAGCTTTTTCTTTTTCTTTTTAAGATTTTTAATTTATTTATCAGAGAGAGGGAGTGAGCGAGCATGAGTGGAGAAGGGGCAGAGGGAGAGAGAATATCCAAGCAGACTCTGCACTGAGCAGAGAGCCCAACCTGGGGCTCAGTCTCATGACCCCAAGATCATGACCTGAGCTGAAACCAAGAGTCAGATGCTTCACTGATTGTGCGCCCAGGTGCCCTGTGCAGCTTTTTCTTCTTGTGCTGAACGTGCTTTGTAGGCACGAAGTGTCGAAATGCCCTGACCGGGACCCAGCCCACGCATGGTGCACTGTCGAAGTCAGCTGGGCTGGCCTGTTGCAGTCCTTGGTTGGAGAAATTCAAAAAACAATAATAATTCCAGAATATACTTGTTTTATTCTGTAAATTCTGTTCGTTGCACAAGTGGGATCGTAAGGAAGAACCCGGGTCCTTCAGTTGTCCTCCCTACTTGTCATTCGTAGCCATGCAGGTTGGTTGTCCTTTCCCAGTAAACTCAGGTCTTGGGGGTTTATTTTTGGTTGCACACTGGTCTTCGTGATCCTCAGCTAAGTGTTGCGTGTGATGACGAGCAGACTTGGCAGGACTGGTCTGTTTCCGTGCTTTGGGGATGACGGAGCTCCTCTGTCTTCGTGTCACTCTGGGAAGGACAGGGCCTCGCTGCCTCCTTTCTCCTCAGACCCTGGAGCTGACCTTTGCTGTTGGCTTGGGCCGTTGCTCTGCGGCATCTGTTAGGGTGTTCCATTGTCAAACTGGTTCCTCAAGAGGAAAAGTTTTGGTTAGTGCCAGTTTAAATCCAGACAGTCTAAAGTGTGCGTGTGTGTGTGTGTGTGTGTGTGTGTGTTGCATTCGAGTGAAGTGTGCACTCCCTGACGCCCAGGTAAGTGTAAAGTGCGCCCCAGCACCCGTGGCCACCCTCCCCATTGGAAGCTCGGTCACAGGAAAGCTGTCGTCCCTGCTCTACCTGACCAGGTGGGGACCTGAAGTCAGGTATCTCGATCCCAAGTGACCGCCTCTTTTTCTGAAAGGAGCCTGTAGACTAGAAGCGAGTGTCATTTCTTGGGGCTGGAAAGGATGCTGCCAAATTTGCTGGGCCCAGGAGGCGGCAGATGAGGTGGACGGGTGGTGGTGGGGCCGTGTCCTTTCTTCCTGGCTGTGGGCCCCAGGCCTCTAG